ATAGGCCAAAAAGGCACAATACCGTGACTGGAACAATACACAAATAACCCACACATAGGAGAGAGGAACTTACGACAACATTTCGGTCTGACTTGGACCATTTACAAAGTCACACTTTGTAAACGGTCCAAGTCGGACTGAACGTCATCATAAGATTCTCTCTCCTATGTGCCGATTATTTGTGTACCTTCTAATATCATGGTTTGTTAATATATTTAATCAAGAAACACTGAGTAGTGACCCTGAAAATCATATCAGAAAATAATTATATGGATATCTGACAACTATTTTTGCTGTGATGAATCCAGTTAAAATTAATTTTTCACTTCTGAAACTTGGCTGTTAAATTAGTTATTATTGCTTCCAAAGTTATTTTGGCAGTTTTCCAAATATATTTTTAGTAAAATTTAATTGTAGAATTTCCAGTTACTTAGATTATAGCACATACTATCTAGGTGAACCCCCAAATTCACGAGGGTTACGTTTCTAGAAGTCTTTCGGATCTTGAATTTGCAAATAATACAAAATTTTGTGTCAGGTTAGGGCTCATTTTTTTCTTTCAAAGGGCATTTAAATCTGTGGTCATCTTACAGAAAGGTTGAGAAGAGGGGGCAAAGGAGGCTTTGAATTGTGCTAGGGGCTTGAACATTCAACAGGCTTGTGTGTTAGATAAGAGTGAGTGGAAGGCAAGTGGTTTTTATAATTTGATGTGTTGTTGGAGTGTGAGCAAAGTAACATTTATGAATGGATCCAGGGAAACTGGTTAACTGAAGTTGAGTTATGGAGTTGGGAAGTACAGTACCTGGACTTTGAAGGAGGGGTGGGGATATTGCACTTTGGAGGGGCATCTTCTAAGCTGTGATGTCGGCACCCTTCTGGCAAGAAAGTGATTGAATGAGTGACTGATTTTTTTTTTTTTTTTTTTTGTCAGGTCACCCTACCTCAGTGGGAGACAGCCAGAGTGCCTAAAAATGTCTAAATATTGCTTTAATCTATTAAGAGTGACAGTCATTAGAAAGAATATCCAAAAAGAAAAGACTTGAGAGTGGGAAAGTATTGAATACATTTTAATTGAAATGATATGGCTAGTTTTCAATTTAGGGATTGTTGGATGAGCCCTTAAAAATGGGCAGTGCCAAAATAACTTGTACATAGTTGAAGCTATTCATGAGATGCCTTATGGTGAAAACGTATAATTATATCTTGTGATTTTAAGGGTTCAACTACACACATTTGCAAAATCTTCCTTCACTTAACCCTTTACTTACATTCCTGCCATTTATTTTCCTCTTCCAGTTTACACCCTATTTCTTTTGCATCTATAACTACAACAGAAACATTTAATTTCTTAAATTTTATACACAATCAGTTTGTCTAAAAATTGGCATTTTACTTAATTTTTATTTTAATGTAACACTTTTTTATTCTCCCTACTCGGTTATTTTTGTCTTATTTTTTATTTAGGATGTATAACTTTTAGTCTGTTGACCATTACATTCATTAGATCATCAACTCTGTCCTAGATAAATGCATTGATAGAGTATATAGCTGTTTCCAGTCATTCCTTTATATAATATGAACTGTAATGATTGTTTAATGGCATTAGTTACAATGACTAGCTTTACTCCCACTGCACTTCTGTATTGTATTTAAGGCTCTTACCATGACAGTAGTTAAACCAGTTTGTTTCAGACTACTTAGGTTGTGCTCCTGAAAGTTTGTATATGGATGTCCATTATACAGTACTCTGTATTTTTTCATACCTATATTTCACTATATAATTTTTTAAGAGCTTATCAGAATGAGTTTTCTATGCATATAGTGCTGCACTTTGAGTTACATGAAGGACAATATTTGGGAGAAACTTAATAATTAATTAAGCAATTCAGTAAAACTTTTACATTAAGTGCAATAGGTCCCCAACTTCTGATATTTTGCATTCATAATATTGGCAGTTTGGAACTAATTAATTACTTACAAATGTTGATCTGAAATACCAAATATTGCAAACATTAAAACAAAAATTATTTTAAATAATTTTTCCATTTTTACCAAACACATTCATATATTGTGTATGTTCATTTTATGCACGCGTGGAACTCACTTTTCTTTACATTATTGTCTAGTGCTGCCAGAGAGCATAGAGAGAAGAAGGCCAAGACATCTGGCTGGTGCTAAATTAAGGAGGACCAGGGATGATTGATTACTCTGGGTGGCAGGTGGGGTGCCAGAGAGCTTGGGGAGGGGAAAGCTGTAGCACCAGGCCATTGGGGACAATGCACACATTCCTTCCTCTTCCCTGGCACCAGCTAACTGTACTCACCAAAACCCACTCTGCCCATGCAATGCACTCACCACTACCTTCCAACACTATGTCATATATCAAAACATCTCATACTGGCTTTAATCATAACCATAATTTTTAAAGAGGTGGACTGGTAAGCTAGCAGAAGGCCTCAGTCAGATGACCAAAAGCTCCAGCTCCAGGTCATCATATAAC